AAGAAGTGGTGACCAGGGTGTGAGTCATCCTTGAAAATTTTCCTCACTCTTCTAAGGCAGTGAGGCCTAGTGATCTCATCTAGTGGTATCAGGGGACAGCCCATGATGTTTTGTGCTATGCTCACCACCTTCTGTAATGTTTTTCTATCCGCGGCTGTCAAATCGGCATGCCAAACCGTGATGCAATAAGTGAGGACGCTTTGTATTGTGGACCTCTAAAATTCAGGCACAGTTTAGTTCTTTAATTGCTGACACACAGTAGACAGAATCTTGCCAGATTAAACTGTTACTACTCTTACCCTAATAGATACCTGGAAGATTCTGGATAGTGACTATCCTTATTCTCTTCTTCTGTCTCATATCCATCATCCACCTCTGGCTGTGCTGCTTCTTGTCTTGACTCTCTTTCTGGAATGGGATCCCTCCTTCCTGGGAAACTGTCCTTTCACTATAGTCCACCACACTGGCTTCCCCCTCCCTAGGCGCTGTCTCTCACAGTTGTCATGTAAAGGATTGCAGTGATATTGTTTAAAATCCAAGATGAACATTTCCCAGTCTTTGTTTGGTAACTTGGTTGTTTCTATCTCTCAGAGGATTTCCAGTACTAGCAATTTGGGAATAGGAGACATTGTTTTGCAGTAGCCCATTCCTATATCTCAGGTAGATGTCAGTTGGTGTCTTTTGAAGCTATGATGTGATATCCGCTTTGGCTCCAGCTTGTCTCCAATCCATTTTAATAAATATGTGAAATTTTGGGACATCCTGCAGCTAAATGTTAGGAGTATGCTGAAGACACCCAAATCTATTTTTTGTAGCATTTTCTGGTAACAACATGGTTCCTCTGACATATCTCTCTGCAATTGATAACTGATTGGATGAAGGATCATATTATTTTTAGTTGATATGCAAATTTGTCCCTCCCAAGACGAGAATATATTGGTCTTAATCTGCAGTTCCTGTACTTGTAATCTTGAGACTTGGCTATTGCATGGGACTTTCTGGATGGTCCCAATATTTCAGTCGAAGCAAAACACATCAGACAAGTTGGGCTTAGAAAAAACTCAGAGAGATCATATTATATATGCAGTAAACTAACTGCACTTTATTGGCCGCCAATTGATTTTGGGAGAAATGCAAACTACTAGTTATTAACTTTTAATGTCTTCTAGGGCTTATGCTCTGGGTATTTGAGAGAACGTTTCCATATAATTACCCTCACCATTGAGTTCATCAGTAGACATTTGCCTGCAGTAATTGCAAGCCTATCTTGTGGTTACTCATCGTTCAGCCTCTAGATAGCTGGCCCAGGTCTCTGGAATGTACTCCCTATTGATTTGAGGAATTGACCTCTTTCTTAACTATGAAAACACCCTTTTTTAAAAAACAGCCCTTTTACTGTTGTTAATGATTTTAATAGTTGCTTTTAAATGTTGATTTTAATATACAGGTAGTTCTCGACTTATGACCACAATTGAGCCCAAAATTTATGTTGCTAAGTGAGACATTTGTTAAGTGAGCTTGGCCCATTTTACGACCTTTCTTGCCACAGTTGTTAAGTGAATCACTGCAGTTGTTAAGTTAGTAGCACGGTTGCTAAGTGATTCTGGCTCCCCCATTGACTTTGCTTGTCAGAAGGTCGTAAAAGGTGAGGGGACATGATCCCACGACACGGCAAAGTTCATAAATATGAGTCCGTTGCCAAGCATCTGAATTTTGACCATGTGACCATGAGGATGCTGCAATGGTCATAAGTGTAAAAAAATGGCCATAAGTGTTGTGGCCTGTACACGGCCTGTGCAGCTAGTAGCTGATTCCGACAGTGAGGAGGCTGGTGTGGTGCAGCCTGTGCAGCTGGCACTCAAGTCGGACAATGAGGAGGCTGGAGAAGATGTGCCAGAGGCGGGGATTCAGCCAGGGCCTTCAGAACCTCCAGAAGCTCCCTTAAGTGAAGAGGACGAAGAGGAGGAGCCTCTTCTCGATGCATGGGTGCACAGAGCTGCCAAAAGGTAGGAGTGGCTCCTCAGGAGGAGGTCTCCTTGAGAGTAAGGCTTGGGGCTAATTGGCCACTCCCTTAGCCTATTTAAGGAGGAACGCCAACTGAAGCAATTTGCAGGGAACAACTTAGTTCACATACCTTCGTGTCTTGTCTTGCTTATCTTATCAGCTTCCTGCAAATTGCTTCTGGGCATTCTGCCAACCAAAGCTTTTTCAGTTATTATTCTTTGAATTCTTGGCGGCTGTTAATGCAATTAATTAACAGCCGTTGTTGTAAAAGACTGGTTTATTCAGTAAACTAAGGTTTGAACAGACTTTGTGTGTGCTGCGTTCTTGGGGTCCATAGCTGGGACAGAACAATAAGTCACTTTTTAAAATGATGTTGTAAACTGACTTTGTATAAAAATAGAACACCGCTTGGGGGGGCCAAAAGCCCTACTAAGCAGATATATACAAAAGTATGAAGGCTATTGGTTAAAAGCATTGTAAGCCGCCCTGAGTCTCCGGAGAAGGGCGGCATATACTGTAAATCAAACTAATAAATAAATAAAACTTCAAACAGTCATTAAATGAACCGTTGTAAGTCAAGGATTATCTGTATTTGGTTTTAACAGTGGCTTTATGTTCTATTGTAATCTGGAAGACACTTCCAATGGTTGCCTAAATAGCAATACATAGATTACATTAAGCCAGGGCTTGATTATCCATGTTCTGTTCAATAAACCATAGTTCATTAGATTCACAAAATATGTTGAACCAGAATCTAATACTCTATATTATAACTTAGTACAATGAATGAACCCAGGCAGTCCTAAGTTATGTTAATTAAAACCTCTGTTAATGCTCACAAATAACAGGTTTTCTCTCTGAATTAAAAAGCCATTTGTGCTGGTGGGGTTGGTTTTGTTTTTTTTGCATGGAGTAAGTCAGTAGACATTGGGGGCATTGTAAAAAAAAATCAGTCACTGACAGTTATTGAAGAAGCTGACCTGTCTAGCTGCAAATTCTTGGAAGCCCTGTGGAATCGATAACATTTCAGGGAAATGGCCTGGAACAATTATGTTGTCTCATAAGACATGTTGAGAAGGCTTAAACAAGGATGGCGGGATAGTCCTTAACATACTGATGTTTTGGGGCATGGCAAGGAATGAACAACTCATTTCATTTCTGTGCACATACAGAGGCAGATGAATGATAAAGTAGAATAGAATAGAATAGAATAGAATAGAATAGAATAGAATAGAATAGAATAGAATAGAATAGAATAGGAATTCTTTATTGGCCAAGTGTGATTGGACACACAAGGAATTTGTCTTTGGTGCATATACTCTCAGTGTACATAAAAAGAAAATATACATTCGTCAAAATCATAAGGTACAACACTTAGGGTCATAGGGTACTAATAAGCAATCAAATCATACTAGGAAACAATCAGTATAAATCATAAGGATACAAGCAACAAAGTTACAGTCATATAGTCATAAATGGGAGGAGATGGGTGATAGGAACGATGAGAAGATTACACTGGGTCCCATTGATTTCCTCAACGGGGAGTAGACTTTCAACTAAGGGTCAAGTAAGTTTATTACATACATGATCAGATCTATTTTCCAGTCACTGCAAATATGGTCATTAAATTTCTAGGCCCAATTCAAAGCACTGGTTTGACATTACATAACTTGATCCTTGAGTTACTTCAGGTATTGTCTTCTCTTGGGGGAATCTTTCTGGTCTGTTCATAGAGACATGGAAGGGATACTTTTCTCTTCAAGAATTCAGGGGACATGAGCTCAAAGGTGATGGTTCCATTCTTTATAAGACCAGGACCCCAGAGGATTGTTTGGTACCCTCCCTCCTAGCTTTCTGTCTTGTTTGAACAGACATCGGGGATTTTTTAGGTTGCCCAATTTTTATTCTGCATCTCTTGTGCTTTTTGCTGTTGTTTGAACAATTGAACTGGGTGATATAAAAATACAATAAATAAAGTATATTTCAGTTTTTTTATTGCTTTTTGCTGAAGAAAAGAATGGCAATTCTAATTGGGTTAATACATCAATCCATGAAAAACAAAGATTTAATATTTCTTTCTCTGGTCATGAATCTTTTCAAAATCATAACCTCCTTCCCATGACACCTAAATCGCAAACTATCATCTATCCATCCCACTTCTCACTGGTTCTCACAACCTTTTCCCTGTTTTATAGGTTGCAATTGGGTATTTTTTGGTAAGGAGGACATAAGCAGTGGTGGGATTCAGCCAGTTCGCACCACTTCAGGAGAACCAGTTGTTAACTTTCTGAGCAGTTTGGTGAACTGGTTGTTGGAAGAAATCATTAGGGCAGAGAACCGGTTGTTAAATTATTTGAATCACACCACTGGACATAAGTAAAGGTAAAGGTTCTCCTCACACATATGTGCTAGTTGTTCTCGACTTTGGGGGCGGTGCTCATCTCCGTTTCAAAGCCGAAGAGCCAGCACTGTCTGAAGAAATTTCTGTGGTCATGTGGCCGGCATGACTAAATGCCAAAGGCACATGAACGCTGTTACCTTCCCACCAAAGGTGGTCCCTATTTTTCTACTTGCATTTTTTATGTGCTTTCGAACTGCTAGATTGGCAGAAGCCGGGACAAGTAATGGGAGCTCACCCTGTTATGCGGCACTAGGGATTCAAACCACTGAACTTCCGACCTTTCAGTCGACAAGCTCAGCGTCTTAGCCACTGAGCCACTATGTCCCTTAAGGAGGACATGGGGAGGAGCAATTCAGCTTCCTTCCCTATACACTGCAGTCCCAATCCAGGTGGGATATGGCTTTATTTTTAAATAAAGGAGAGAAGAAAATAGAACAGCATAATGTGGTTTTAATACCTTATAAAGCTTGACCATTTGAAGTCATTCATAGAAAAAAAAAAGGCATGCATGCATCTGTAGTCACTTTATATTAAAGATGTCTTGGTTTCTTGCAACTTCTTAATGCTTTGTCTTTTTTTTTTTTTTTTGAAACAGATAGATTGGGGCCTCCTGTGGACATAGCACTGGATTCTTTGAATTGCACTGCACTTAGTATTCAATGGAGAATGCCTCAGCAACATGCAAATACCATCACAGGGTACACTGTAAGTATGTGTTGATTTTATTTTTCTGCCAGGCATATGCAGGTAATTAAAAGCACCTTTAATCAGGCGGGCAAAGTCAGGAGCATCTACTGGGAGGAGTGGGAGTGTCTCAAAAGGTCAAGATGGCACCTTGACCATGCGATTGAAACCCCAATTGTCCTGGTCACTTCCTTCATCTTTTTGACCATTGCTGGTAGATACTAAAGTAGTAACTGTGAGAGGGATCTTGGAGTCCTAGTGGACAATCACTTAAGTATGAGCCAGCAGTGTGCAGCGGCTGCCAAAAAAGCCAACACAGTTCTAGGCTGCATAAACAGGGATAGAATCAAGATCATGTGAAGTGTTAATACCACTTTATAATGCCTTGGTAAGGCCACACTTGGAATACTGCATTCAGTTTTGGTCGCCACGATGTAAAAAAGATGTTGAGACTCTAGAAAGAGTGCAGAGAAGAGCAACAAAGTTGATTAGGGGACTAGAGGCTAAAACATATAAAGAACGGTTGCAGGAACTGGGTATGTCTAGTTTAATGAAAAGAAGGACTAGGGGAGACATGATAGCAGTGTTCCAATATCTCAGGGGCTGCCACAAAGAAGGAGGAGTCAAGCTATTCTCCAAAGCATCTGAGAGCAGGACAAGAGGCAATGGGTGGAAACTAATCAAGGAGAGAAGCAACCTAGAACTAAAGAGAAATTTCCTGACAGTTTGAACAATTAATCAGTGGGACAACTTGCCTCCAGAGATTGTGAACGCTCCAACACTGGAAGTTTTTAAGAAGTTGTTGGATAACCATTTGTCTGACGTGGTGTAGGGTTTCCTGCCTAAGCAAGGGGTTGGACTAGAAGACCTCCATGGTCCCTTCCAACTCTGTTATTCTATTGTCTAAAGTGCATGTCTTAGATTGCTTTAGATCAGATGTATAAAGTTCTAAGTTGCATTTTGCTCAAGAGAGGTGAACAACTTTTCCTCTTTCCAGGAGAAGCTGGCTGTGCTTCCCTTGTTGTGAAGAAGATGAATACTCTCCTCTGGATTTTGTGATAAATTATGAAACCAATTTCTGCTTCCTGGTCTACCTGTCCACAGGGCTGATTGGTTTACTCATATGGGAAACAAAGCAATGTATCCCCTCTTTAAGAATCTATCTCTTTATAAAAACAGTTAACGAGGTACTTTCCAAGGCTGTCACCTGAGATTCATCCTAGTTATTTTAAATAATAGAATAAATGTTTAAATAAACATTATAGAAGGACGGCATATGAGAAAGGTATCAGTATCAGAGTTGCTGTATTGGTACTAAAGAAGGAAATATACTTAGTTTTGGGGATTGCTGCTAACCCCTGGATAACCCTGCCTGGATTCTGAAATTAAATGGATTCAGGTCTAGTTAGGATTTGGATGGGAGATCATTAAAGAATACCAAAGCCGTAAGGATGACAGGAAGTTGAAAAAAAATCCGGAAAGATAGCATTAACAACCCATTTCTGTACTGTTGCCAAGACAACAATATGCAGGTCCATGGGAGATTCAGGTGTTGAAGTTGACCTGAAGGAAGCTTTATTTTTCGTTTGTTTTAGCTTTAGCAGGTCTCTGAAAAAAAGGTATAATTTAGTGTAAAATACCTTCAGTAAAGATACTGCTGTTGGAGAAGACTCTTGAGAATCCCTTGGACTGCAAGGAGATCAAATCAGTCAGTCCTAAAGGAAATAAATCCTGACGGTCCTTTGGAAGGTCAGATACTGAAGCTGAAGCTCAAATACTTTGGCCAACTAATGAGAAAGAAGACTCATTGGAAAAGACCCTGCTGTAGGGAAGGATTAAAGGAGAAACGGATGGCAGAGGATGACATGATTATAGAGTGTCATCTATGCAATGAACATGAATTTGGCCAAACCTTAGGACACAGTAGAAGACAGAGGGTCCTGGTCTATAGCAGGGGTGTCAAACTCAATTTCATTGAGGGCCGCATCAGGGTTGTGTTGACCTCAGGGGCTGGAGGGGGGATGGCCAGGGGGCTGGCCAAGGGGGGAATGGCCAGCTCAACATCCGTTTTGGCCACAATGGCCTCCTGCAGCCGTCTGCCAGTGAAAACAGAGCTCGGGGGGGGGGCTGCACATGGCTCTCTCGAGCTCCGTTTTTACTGGCAGAGGACTGCAGGAGGCTGTTGCAGTCGAAAACAGGCCCTTCTGAGCTCCGTTTTCTCTGGCAGAGGCACCGCAGGCCGGTCCTTGGCTGTTTCCAGGGTGGCCCCATGGGCCACATCTAAGCACCCTGTGGCCTGGATTTGGCCCGCGGATCTTGAGTTTGCTACCCCTGGTCTATAGGGTCACAAAGATGTGGACACGACTTAGTGACTGAGGAACAACAGAGACATTGCTAAATACATGCTCCACTACAACCTGCTCTATCATATAAAAAGGAAGAAGATATATACTGCAATGGGAGGCTTTCAGTGGATATATGCTTCAAACAAGTATGCAACTGCTCAGACTGGATAAGACCAACTGGCCAGTGGTGAAATGTAAAATTGGTTACTACCGGTTCTGTGGGCATGGCTTGGTGGGGGGGGGTGTAATGTGACTGGGTGGGCATGGCCAACTTTTTTTTTTAACTTTTAAAAGCATTTTTTCTACAACCTCTTCAGCCTCTGACGATCAGGCAACTCAGCTGGGATCGTCAGAGGCTTTTAAAAGCATTTTTTTCTACAACCTCTTCGGCTGAAGAGGTTGTAGAAAAAAATGCTTTTAAAAGCCTCTGACGATCCCGACTGAGCCGCTCAATCATCAGAGGCTTTTTTTTTTTTTACTTTTAAAAGCATTTTTTTAGCTGAAGAGGTTGTAGAAAAAATGCTTTTAAAAGTAAAAAAACAGCCTCTGATGATCGCGCGGCTCAGCTGGGCATGGGGGGGGTTGCAGGGATTTTTGCTACCGATGCTCCGAACCACCCACCACCATCGCTACTGGATCGGGAGATCCGGTCTGAACCAGGAGCATTTCATCCCTGCAACTGGCGCCCTAAGCACAACCCAACAATGATGCCCCTCAATGACAGTGAAATTCTCATGCCATGAGACCGAAACCAATGTGATATCTGATGATTTCTTCAAACCAAACTTTTAAACTTTAGTCATTCACCTTGACATAGAGAAAGTTTTTTTTAAACAACAGAGATTAAAATCAAACACAGCAGATGAGGACAATTACAAAAAAAAAAAAATCAACTAAAGACCAATGTGACAATGAAAGAATTAAGGGTGTGATAGCTGGGAGGAAAAACAATCCAATGCCCCCACTTCCCTTGGGGCCGTAATAATAACATAGTTACTTTGCTGAATGGTTAATCCACTATAAATGTGGCAGTAAAAGTCCACAAGGTATTTTATAGCAAATGGTAAGAGGTGCTAAATGTAATATCAAGAAGACACGTATGCACCTGAAAGCACCATGCAGTGGCATGTGAAGTTTTTGATGCCTCATGGTTCACCTGAGTAACACCACTGCTGCATGAGCTGTATTGGCTTCCAGTTGCTTTCTGGGTGCAATTCAAGGTACTGGGTATCACCTTTAAAAGCTCTATATGTCACAGGTTACTTGCAGGACCAATTTTCCCTGAGGGTACCTGCCTAGATAGAAATGAAGTTGCCACCTGATGAGATTCCCAGAGGCATGCCTTCTCAATAGCTGCCCCAGTGCCTTGGAACAGCCTCCCACCCAAAATCAGTGGTATCTCTACACTTTTAGCCCTCTACAGCTGTAAGGGAAGGAGTGGCAGAACCTGGGGGTGGAGATAAAAGAGGGATGAGCCTAGAATTTTAATGTAGTCACAAGCAAATCAAATCCAAGCCACCTTGCTAACTCCCAGCAGTTGCTAACCATCAGTTGTGAATATTCCTGTGCATTAGCATGACAAGCAATAAATCAGTTTAATTGGACTTTCACCTGTGGACCTGATCTTTTCCACCTGACAGGAGGGCTGTGAAGACCTGGCTCTTTCCAGTGGTGGGATTCAAATAATTTAACAACCGGTTCACCCAGGGTCAGGTTGGCTGTCATGGGAGGCATGGCTCATCCCCGTCCTCCAGCTCCATCGCACATGCGGGACGAGCCTCCCGCGATGGCCAACCTGACCCTGGGTGAACTGGTTGTTAAATTACTCCCCCCCCCCCGCTATCAAAGTGGATCCTGGGTGCTGCACTACAATACGGGCAACAGAGTGGCTGGCACGAGGGAAGGAGGAGGAGCAGGGAGAACGCCGGCTGCTCTGTTGCCCATTTCTCCATTGCAGCACAGCACAGCGCTCAGGATCCACTTTGATAGCGGGGGGGGGCCTGGAATTTAACAATTAGTTCGCCCAACCCGGTGTGAACCATTTGAATCCCATCACTGGCTCTTTCCCCAAGCACTGGCATGGGTAGGCTGGGGTTGACTGGGAAGAGGTTTGGTCTGTTGCTGGGAGAAAGGGTACTTTTGTTTTTAGATATGTTTTTCTGGATTATTGTAAACCGTATAAAATCAGATCCTGAAATAGGCCATGCATTATTGGTATCAAATATATAATTTAGAATTATAAAATTAAAAAGACTACCTGTGTCATCAAAATTTGACTTGAGGCATCTAAAAAAAAAATCTATGAAAGGAATTTGCTTACCTTGCATGGAAAAAGTTCACAAGGACATTGAGGCAATATATTGGATAGTATAAATCCAAAGCGGGGGAAAAAATATTCCTAGAATTTCAAAGACAAATTTATTTATCTCGCTGATAAAAGAAGCACCAGGTGTTGATTATTTAAAATTGTAGATAAAGTGCCATCAGCTCTTGATCAACAAATATGGAACAAGATGGTCTAGACCAGGGGCCGGCAACCTTAAACACTCAAAGAGCCACAAAGGTCCTAATTGGAAGCCCCTGTTCAATTCTGGAGCCGACCGGAAGTTTGGTTCCCCCATCATAGTCTCCTCCTAGTGTGGCATCCTTTTTCCTCTGCTGACCGGAAGTCTGGTTCCCCCAACATCGAGTCTCCTCCTAGCACAGCGTCCTTTTTCCTCTGCCGCCTGGAAGTCGGTTCCCCCACCAAAGAGTCTTCTCCTAGCGCAGCATCCTTTTTCCTCTATCTATCCTAACTGAAAGCCCTATTAATTGTGGAGTCGACCAGCAACAGGGAGCTGCAGCAGAGGGATGAAAGAGCCACATGTGGCTCCACAGCTGCGGGTTGCTGACCTCTGGTCTAGACCTCAGTTATATCTGCAAATTTCTGAAACAGAAGAAGTGAAGTGTGAAAAAATTCTTCTTGCAAGTAAAGTTTTTAAGGTTGTTAGAAAGAAAAAAAACTCCGATACATGGAAAAAGAAATGGTAAATTAACTAGTAGGATTCACAAAAGGCAGAAGTCCACAGGATCTGATACCTGTCACGTAAAGAATAATGGAGAGAGCAAAAGAATATAAGAAAGAGATACACCTTTTTCTTTATTAACCACAACTAAGCCTTTGATTGTAGATCATGCCAGAGTGTGGAATACATTAAGGGTAATTGGCATGCCAGAACATCAGATTATTCTTCAGAGGGACTTTACAATGAGCTGCTGTAAGAAATGAAATTTGGAAGAAATGAAGTGGTTCAGAATAAGAAAGGGAGTGAGAAAAGAATACATATAGTCCCCATATGTTTAATTTATATAGTGAATATATTATAAGAATGGTAGGAGTAGATGAAATGAAGCTGGACTCAAATTTAGAGGCTGAAATGCTAATCCTTTGAGATATGCAGATGATATCCCTTTATTAGCCAAAAATAAAGAAGATTTAGCTAATTATTAAAGTAAAACTAGAAAGTAAAAACAAAATCCTATCAGTTGATCTCAGAACAAATAGAAAACTCCCTTGAATAAAGATCAACAAATAGAAACATACATATTTTGGGTACAAGCAGATGATGGACTAGAAAAAATTGACTCTGCATTGCAAGTTTGAGGGGAGTAGAAGGATGAGATAACTATGAATAAGGTAGGTGGGTACTAGTATCAAAGTGTGATATAAGGCTATTCTTGAGAGACCACAAGATCTTGGAGAGAGGATGGGAGGAGGACTATTTTTCCATGCAGTCACTTGGAGTCAAACATAATTTGATAGCATCTAACTGTACAGTTAGTAGAGCCTTTGGGGTAGATATCAAAGAAACAATTATTTGCTTGTTTGAGGGTAGAAACTTAACCATACTTCTTGAGTTTGAAGGATAATTATTCACAAATTAGTAAAGGATTACTAAACTTCCTCGTTATATTTTAATTTTTATTCATTTTGTATCTTCATCATCTAGCCATTTTGATAGAGTCAAACACAGAATGTATCATTGTGGGTTTTGGTTGCCATTCTAGGTGATGTGATAAATTTAATATTGGCTTTAACTTTATACAACGTATTGACTTCATGAAAATATTTCAGTAATTTGAGGTTTGGTAACTGATTATGTGCTATCAAGTTGGGGTTGATAGATACATAAAAAGGTAAAGGTAAAGGTTCCCTTTGCACATACGTGCTAGTCATTCCCAACTCTAGGGGATGGTGCTCATCTCCATTTCAAAGCCGAAGAGCCAGCGCTGTCCAAAGACATCTCCGTGGTCATGTGGCCGGCATGACTAAACGCCAAAGGCACATGGAACGCTGTTACCTTCCCACCAAAGGTGGCCCCTATTTTTCTACTTGCATTTTTACGTGCTTTCAAACTGCTAGGTTGGCAGAAGCTGGGACAAGTAACGGGAGCTCACCCCGTTAACGCGGCACTAGGGATTCGAACTGCTGAACTGCGGACCTTTCGATTGACAAGCTCAGCGTTTTAGCCACTGAGCAACTGCATCCCTTATAGACTCACCATAATATCCCCTGACCACAGTGAGACAACATAGCATGACTTGAGATTTTTTGGTGGGGTATTAGTACTAGTAACAAATATAATGTACCCTTGTTGTATTGATTTATTTGCATTTTTATTTCTTTGACATCGACTCAAGGTGTTCTACACTGAGGTCAAGACTGATCAACAAATTAGGCAACAGTCTCATGATGTACCTCTCAGTTTGGATATGCTTGGCATGGTGAGTGGCAATACTTTGATATTTAATATGCAAACATTCATATATGGTTTATTCTCTAGACTTTAGGCAGCCACCTATAACCATGTAAATAAAGATATAAATCGTTTAAAAAGCAGATAATTTCAGTGTAAAAAACCTGGTAGAAATACACTGCTTTTATTGCCTTCCTAAACATTAATAGAACGAGGTCCATCCTAATGTTGGGATCAATAGCAATAGCAATAACACTTACTTATATACTGCTTCATAATGCTTTGTAGCACTCTCTAAGCCAGGAGTCTCCAACCTTGGCAACTTTAGACTAGACTTGTGGACTTCAACTCCCAGAATTCCCCAGCCAGTTTTGCTATCCAGCTTTGCTAGCTGAGGAATCTAGGTCCTCATTTTACCATCCACAGAAAGAATAGAAGACTTGAGTCAACGTTGAGCCAGTGAGAATCAAACTGCTGGCAGTCAGCAAAATTAAGCTGCAATACTGCATTTTAACCATTGAGCCACTACGGATCTTATAAGAAGGCTACTACTGAGAAGGTCATTTCCAAGACCCACCCTCCTAGCTCTGCTATGCATGTGAAGTGTTGAAGCTTCTTGTATATAATTAAGAGGACAATGTTATTAACACATGACCTCTCATTTGATGTGGTCCAGTATATACAGAGAAGAAAACTGATAAATTTATATATTAGGGCCACCAGGGCTGCAAAAATCCATATGATCATAGGACACAGCCTCATGTATCTTTGTTTCACATATTGATCAACTGGATTTTTGCAGCACTGATTTGGTAGTCCAATCAGATACATCATAATTCTTATAAGAACTTCTCATTAAAAGCTAATATGGTTTTCTGTCCTATCTGTCAGAAATTACACAATATGCTTACCAATTATGAACCACAGTTTACTGAATTAACTCTTTTATAAGTTTGCCTGAGACTGAATGACATACCAACGGGGACGTTTTTGCCCTCTCTCAGCCCCCAGGAGCACTCTGCAGGCCTCCCAAACCCTCTGTGCACCCCGTTTTTCACAAAAACGGATGAGAAACACATTTTTTCCTTACTTACCTCTTCGAAATCTTGGTGCGTCTTATACACCGGTGTGTCTTATAGTCCGAAAAATACGGTATATATTATATCTATCTATCGATATAGATATAGATATAGATATAGATATAGATATAGATATAGATATAGAGCATTATACTTGATCTCTGGGTTTCTCTAAATCTTTCCTATCCCATTGCCAGCAGATGCAAGGTGGAGTTGCTATTTTTTCTCTCTTGGCAGTATACTTATATATTACTACTGCCTAGGGAGAAATTCAGCAGGTGTAATATTTCCTATCACGGCCTTCCTTTCTATATTGGGAAAAGCTGCACCTGTTGCAATCCTAGGTACCATCCAGCTGTTAATCCAACCTCTCAGAACAAAAGGGGATGCACAGCAGAAAATTTTTCTTCCATTTTGGATTTGAGAAATGGAAATTCAGGGCATATTGCTGCCTGCCTAAAAACACATGTGTCTGTTTTCATACTGCCTGTAAGCATGATGTTTCAATTAAGGAGAAGTTTGGATGTAGGAGGAGGACCGTCTAACAGTGACATCTTTCATTCAGGGAGAACTGTGACATGTGGAACCAATCTGAGCCATTCCATGTGCAAGATCTTATTTAAAGTGCAGACATACCATTTTTTAATACAAGAGAACAGCTCTGTGTGCTTAAAAAGCAGGCTCCAAATTTCCTTTTGCAATAATTTGGGTTGATATGTTTTTAAATCTCAAGAAAGGACTAAAAGTGAATTTGCAGCTAGGCTTGGATTAGGAGTTACAATTCCGTTCCCCTCTTTTGGTCCTCTTTTGATCTGTTTTTCTACTTTGTGTGGGTGTTCTATTCTCCTCGAACCAAAAGGAGGAAGTATTTGCTTTATTCTCATACTCAATGTCCTCCTGCTCAGATTTAGATTTCAAGGGGGGGGGGGGGGGGGGGAAAAAAAAGGTGGAGAAAGATGGAATAAAACCATCTTTAATGTGAAAACAGAAAAGGGGTTATAGGTAGTCCTCACTTAAGGATCAGTCATTTAGCCACCATTTGACGTTACAATGGACCTTCTCAAAAGTTACATACAACCTGGTTTTGAAGTTACAATGGCAATGGTTGCTATCCATGGTCATGTGATTGAATTTTGGGTGGTTGGCAACCATTTATGGCTGTTTGCAATGCCCGCAGTCATGTGACTGCAATTTTCCATGGGCTTTTTTGCTAGTTTCCAGGGTTTACTTCCGATTTCCAGCAAAAAATGCCCATTGGGAAAATGAACCCATTTAACAACTGAAGCAGTTTGCTTAACAACTGTGGCATTGGCTTCACGACCATCACAAAAAAAGGTCATAAAATCAGGTGGAGTCATGTGGCGATCTGCATAACAACCACCATGACTTACAGCTATAGTTCCAGTCTCAATCACAGTCATAAATTGAGGACTACCTGTATTTCAAATCATTGTGGAGTTCTGTATTTCAGATGCAAATCCTTCCTCAGTGGTTCCAAAATCTCATACATGGAATACACATGGAAATAGGATCAATTGGAAGATCTATTGTGAAACTGTTTCAAAAATCAATACCAGTACTGTTTCAAAAATACCAATACCAGTAAAATCCAATACCAGTACTAATAGCAAAATGCAGTTGTTCAAATAAAGCAGTAACAAACTGCATGGACTCCATATACCAGGAGTGTCAAATTTAAGGCCCATGGGACAGATCCGGCCTGTGCAGTGCTTAGATCTGACCTGTGGTCCTACCCTGGAAACAGCAAAGGACCGCCCCGTGGTGCTTCTGCCAGTGAAAACGGAGCTCGGGGAGGCCACACACAGCCTCCCCGAGCTCCGTTTTCACTGGCAGAGGGCTGCAGGAGGCCGTCACAGCTGAAAACAGCCTGGGTGGGCTCTGTGTGACCTCCCAAGCTCCATTTTTGCTGGCAGTGGGCTGCAGGAGGCCATCATGGCCAAAAACGGAGCCTCAGTGAGTGACATCAAGCTGGCTATGCCCCCTAGCCATCCACCCTGGCCCCCGTGGAGGTCAAACACAACCCTGATGTGGCCTTCAATGAAATTGAGTTTGACACGCCTGCCATATACCAATAAAATCAAATCAAATGACTTCAAAAAAAATTGAATAAAACAATCTTTCCTAAATATTAGGTATATGTCCTATTTTATATGTCATGTGAGATTATATGTTTCTTTTATGTTTTTTAAAAAAATATAATTTCAAACTTCTGAGGTTTTGAAGAGGAAGACTTTGGAGAAAAGTATTGTACGTGTGATTGTATTAAAATGGCATGTTAATGATTCCTTTTTAGTTGGCAGCTGTACGGGGGCATCAAATAAAGGTTGCCATGTAGAAATCTGCATGTGAAATTTTAATAGGATGGAATGAAATTTTTTTATGGTGAAAGCTGAAGAAAAGTTTATTTTTTTCGCGTACTATTAGCATCTTGACAGATAAATCATGTTGAGTGCCTGCTAATAAATTAAACAGTTATGATTAGATAAACAGGAAAGTTTTGAATCTTATCACTAAACTGCCTCATCTTCACATAATTATTCTGTATGGCTTTTATAGGGGGGCTTAAAATAGCATAAGTGAGCAGGTGTGTTTTCTTTTCAAAGGATATATTTATGACTATAGAAAATTAATGGTGTACGTTCTAGTGTAAAATCTATTGGATGCTTAAATCATCTACCTAATGTATTTTGGTTTCATTCATTTGAGTCCGTCATAAAGGGAATGTTGGCACTAAGATGGCTTATATTTTGAATAAATAAATAAAGTAGCTCTTACTTTATTACTAAATCAGCATGCTTTTAATAATCCTGTTTCTTAAGAATCTTTTTTTTCCCTTGCTAGGGTCAGATGGATGGGCAAACAATTTTTGTAAGTACTACAGTTCATGTATGCATTGTTTGTTTAAATGTAAACAAGGTTTGTTTAAATCTAAATTCATTATTGTGAGAATTTGCCAATTACAAAACTTTGAATGGGTAACAAGGAATGGATATGCTTGATTTTAATTGCAAAGCTAGATAATGATGAAGAACTGAAAAGTAACTTAACTCGAGACAAAATCCCAACAAAATAAAAAAAGGTTTCTGTGGAATACTGATTGAGAGATAGAGAAACACAACTTAAACTTTCATGTTCTGTATTTTCATTCAAAGTGAAATTTGTATGACACAGATCTGTATGACTTTAGAGATAAAGTCAATAACTGATGATCAAATTGTACTGAATTTGTTCATTGCAGAGATTTTTAATCTTTTATTGCTGTGTTTAGCTTCAGTTGTGACACATCCAGTCATAGTCCAGTGCATTTAAAGAGTTGTGATTTTCCCAGTTTTTTATTTTTACAAAACAGGTTATCAAATCATACACGGCCAGATTCCAATATACAATTTTTAACAGATCCGGAAGAAAGTGTACATGTATGCATTGGAGGCTTCAGATTCAACATCTGGTACCTCTAAACATTTTCTATTTTTTGTTCCTGCCCTTATGGTTGGAAGGTTAGAAAAGATATTTACCCAAAACTGCAAAAGAAATTGTTAGTTGGAAGAGATCATTTATAGGATATATCTCCAAGCTGACACACTGAAATTGTGCAGCAAACAACAATTTTCAGCCATTTAGAGATAAAGCAACAGCAAGAAGGAATAGCATGTTTCCTGACTAACAACATTTAAAAAATGCACCAGCTTTTGTGAGCTCTAGCTTCCTTTATGCACAAAGCAACTGCAGCTTATAGTAAGTTGATGAGGGAAAAGATTTGTTCTCCAAGCTTGTGAGTTGGTTTCCAAACATTTCATTACCAGGCTAGATAACAACTTCAGTAGAGTTTAGGGGATGTCAGTGTTCTTCTTTTATAAGGGCTTCGTGTGGTCAGAGGGCCTTGTGATGGGTCTTGCAGTGGTGAAATCCACATTTTTTTACTACCGGTTCTGTGGGCGTGGCTTGGTGGGCTGGCAGAAGTATACTTGGTGAGCATGGCAGGAGAAAATCTCCATTCCCACCCTACTCCAGGGGAAGGATACTGCAAAATCCCCATTCCCTCCCCACTCCTGGAGGAAGGATATTGCAAAATCTCCATTCCCACCCCACTCTGGGGCCAGCCAAAGGTGGTATTTGCCAGTTCTCCGATCTGCTCAAAACATCCGCTACTGATTCTCCAGAACCTGTCAGAACCTGCTGGATTTCACCCCTGCATCAGTGGGAGTCTCATGATGGGGAGGTTGCATCAGGTAAGGGTCATAGGGAGGTGAAGTGCTGGTTGGGGGACCTTGCGTGGGTTGGTTGAGGGTCGGTGCTTACATAACTCAATATCTTTCAATAAAATTAGCCAGTTTGAAAAGGTGATACCAGCTCCTTCAGATTTTTGACTCTCATAGTTCTCCTCTTCCAATAAAGAGAACTATGAATGAATTATAATGAAGAGACACACGGTAATTCATCCATATAGAGACTGCATATGTAGTGACGGGGCAAAGAAACTATACCTGAGTTTTGTCTGTCAATCCTAATCAGGGCCAATGGGTCAAACTGAACAGGGCTGTTTTCTAAAAACAGGATAGTAACTAGTATAGTATCTAGTGATTCAATTTGCAATTGTCCAGCTGTTTGGCTCTCCCTCTTTGCAATGAAATTGAATTGTGTGGGTTTTTTTTTTTTAAGGTCAGAAGAAGAGAAAGAAGATATTAGGAAAGTTATAAGTGGAAGATAAAATTTTTCAAATTTTCTGTAAAGTTTTTAGCTTTATCCGAAATATCCATATCATAGGGATTATGAGATATATGCTTCATTGATGAATTATGTTAAATTCAAGTCTTAAAAACTTATGACTTTGTTGATAAATTAAGGAAACTTTCTGTTAAACCTGCTTATCTGCACCTGGAGATAAAATATTTTCAAATTAAATTTTAAAATTTTAATAAATTAATTGTATTAATGTTGGGATGCTTGCTAGCTTAGTTTCAAAGTAAATTGAGTATTTTATAAATGTTTGGTTATTGTTTTTAAGTTTTATCTGTGAGTGGGTTTTTATGAACAGTATTCATAAGATGTTTATTAAAACCAATAAAACTGTTCTGAACTTCGGATTTATTTTGGTCATAATATTAGCTTAAAGTGGCCTTTTCCAAGCTGGTACCCATCAAATGTGTTGGTGCTAGTCAGGATGACTGGGATTTCTGGTACCGGTAGTCCTTGATTTACAACAGTTTGTTTAGTGAGTGTTTGACGTTACAATGGCACTAAAAAAATGGCTTATGACCATTTTTCACATTTATGACTTTTGCAACATCCCAAATGTCATGTGATCAAAATTCAGATACTTGGCAACTGTTTCATATTTATGATGGTTGCAATGTCCCATGGTCATGTGTTGGCTAGCTTGGTCGTTCAATAGCAAGACACTGGTGAAGCGGGCACAGCAGCACCCGCATTTTCTACATCACAAGAAAAAAGTACATCTTCCTTCCACTGTCCTTACCACTTTCTATAGAGGGACGATCGAGAGCATCCTGTCATATTGCATTACTGTCAGGTTTGAAACAGGGGTGGGTTCTAAATTTTTTTACTACCGGTTCTGTGGCTGCGGCTTATTTTGTGGGCATGGCTTGATGGTCATGTGACAATTCTTTAGGATTTAGCAGAGGTACTGGTCTACCAGGCTTTTAACTGCTTGCAGAGCTGTACCGGTCTACCCATTTGTTCTTGGAGCATTCCAGTCTACTCATTTGTTCTTGGAGCGTTCCGGTCTACTCATTTGTTTTTGCAGGCACCGGTCTACTCATTTGTTTTTGGTGGCACCGGTCTACTCATTTGTTTTTGGAGGCACCGGTCTACCCATTTGTTCTTGGAGCATTCCGGTCTACTCATTTGATTTTGGAGGCACTGGTCTACCCATTTGTTTTTTGAGCACACTGGTCTACCACCACACTGCCTTTTAACACTGATCAGCTGTAGCCCCTTTGAAGCCCCGCGGCAAGAGTTTAAACAGTTTTTTTCCTTCAAACCGATCAGCTGGAACTCGGAAGGCAGTGAATAGATTGGGGGCGGGGCCAAATAAAAGGTAAGAATAACGCGGGGGGGCGGGAGGGCCCAGCTCCCGAACAAAGAGAACCGGTTCCATGACGTCATATCATCACCGCTACCGGCTTGGCCAAACCGGGAGGAGCCCACCACTGGTTTGGAAGCATTACTGCTTCAGACAGGAAGGCGGTGCAGAGAGTGGTGAGGACGGCAGAAAAAATTATTGGTAGTTCACTCCCTTCTATACAGGACATAGCATATAAGCGATGCTTGACCAGGGTCCACAGGATTGTCAGGGAAGCTACACATCCTCTTCACAACCTGTTTTCCTTGTTACCTTCTGGGAGGAGGCTTCGTGGTATCTGAAGAACATCTAGATTCAGTCACAATTTTGTTCCATATAGCATCAACCTTGTTGAACTCTCAAGTTTCCTATTTCCGCTATGTATTCAAAATAGCCAATGATTAATATGCAGATATATGTATGGGTGTACGTATGTATGTATGTATGTATGTATGTATGTATGTATGTATATGTGTATGTATATAATATATGCATATGTGTGATATGTATGTATATGGGTACATATATACTTTTTTGGGGAGTAGGCCACAGAATTTCATTTTTAATGTGGTCCAGTGGGCTCACAGTAAAAAATGACAATAAAGCTTATCTTACCTTACCTTACGTGATCCCCTTTTATGACTTTCTGACTAGCACAGTCAATGGGGAAGCCAGATTCACTTAACAACCATGTCACTAACAACTGCTGTGATTCATTTAACAAATCTGGCAAGAAAGGTCATAAAATGGGGCAATTGTCTCACTTAGGAACAGAAATTTTGGGCTAAATTGTAGTCATAAGCTGAGGACTACCTGTACTTATAGCTCCAGTGTGAGGGGACATTCTGTTGAGGAAATCAAGAGATAATTTAGAAATAAATGGCACCCTTATAATACAATGCATATCCTATGCATATCACTGCTTTATGCATTTGGATTTAAGCTCTCTCATTAAATATAAGTGGAGTTTCAGTCTAAAGTAGATGAAGTTTTCCTACATGTTGGGCAGCTTAATCACATCTGTCTCCACCAATCATAATAATATATGCAGTTTAATATATTTTTTAAGACCGGCCTATAAACCTGTGCAAAAAAATAAATCTGAAAACAGTCTAAATAAAAATGCATAAGCAAAATTATGGGGGAAAACATATCAGTGATTCTTTATTCAGTAAGGAAAAGTATATTTTATGACTGATTGAAACTTCAGAGTTTCTCACTGCTTTCATACACAGCTTTCCCAGTTTCCTTGTAAACATTTAATTTTTGAACCAAAGAACCTGTGAAGAGAAATGATTAGACTTCCCCTAAACCATTTATGTCATATGAGCCTTTGATATGAAATGCACTGTGGCTGAGAAAAACTAATCAACTCTAACCAAGATATTAATATTGCATTGGTTATTCAATAACGTCTAGCAAAGATGTTTGGTTTCCGACCCTACAGGGAAAGTGACACTGGTAGATTATTTTATTTTATTGCACTCAGAATCCATTAAGAAACATTCTTTTCCAGTTTTGTCTCTGTGGGGTTATATGGCCCCCCCAAATTTTTTTTTAAAAAAATAAAGTTTTAGTTTAATTTATTGCAAGGCCTTAGAGCGTGGCAGGGTATATATTCATATAAAGATGTATGCACAAGGGAGTAGAGCCCATTTGTGAAAATGTGGAAGCTCCCGGGATTCTTCATCCCTTCTAATCCTGTGCACAACACTTATGCCTCACAGCTATCGCTATCTCTAGTGAATGCCTAGCAGGACAAAATGTGTGTTGTTTTCCTGTTTTT